GTGCAAATTAGAACATGGCTGTATCTGTTATGTATTTGATAATGTTTTGAACTTTTAAAACACTGCATGGTAAAAACAGAAGCTGTACTTCATATTAGTGACAAACTTTGGCATTTTTTGACAAGTTACTTTCATTTTTTCTTCTACTTTTCATTTAAAATAGATTTCCATTCTCGGTAGGTTTCTAAAGGTTCTTCTTCTACGTATTAAAAAAGTCGTTAAACATCTGAGTGGCGCACTACTGCTACTAGTGGTGAGAAAGTGTATTGCACCTTATTCAAAATCAATGCGGTCTCACGTCCCTCTGTGGCCCAAAGTTAAAATCTGTTGTTCTTTTGAGGCCCTCAAGGTGGTAATCATGGCCCACAATTGGGCCGCGGCCCATAGGTTAAGAATCTTTGCTCTAGAGTAAGTCAATCACGTGTCCCACGGGTAGGACATACGGAACTTGCTGCACATTATTGGCTCTAAAGAAGCTTCAAATCAACCCAGTTAGTCTAAAGAGGGGTCAATAAAAAAAGACAACCAATCTAATCATTTTAACAACCTATTATGCAAATTTGAAGTCCACGTCAGACTGCAAAGAGGCAGGAAGCAGCAACTGGTTTTAAACATCAGTGTGTCACATTTTGTTGGTATGATATGTTTTGTTTTTTTCCTCATCTATCCTTGTGTGGTATTTTGTTTTTCTTTAGCGCCTCCTCAAGTTGTCCTTTCATGATGATGATCCTTGCACTGTGCAGGGGTCTGTGGCTGCAAGACCTGGGGGCACCTGTTCTCCTGTGTTTTTGTTCTGGACTGTTATTTCCCCTTGGGATCAATAAAGTATCATCAATCAAATAAATCACACAATCACAACTATATAAACTTTTTATTGTTGAGCTGTATCAGTACTGTTTATACTGTATGTACTGTATTACTGTTTAAACAGCTGTTTACTGGAGACTTATGAGTTAATCCTCACCAGTGTATTTCCCCCCATAAAAAGTCATGGGGAATCCAGACGCACCCCCAGCAAAATCACTCATCATCAAGTCCACATTCTGTGGTAGTTTGCCCCCATTAGGCCTGGTGCAATCTACAGTGTTCAGGATCATGTGACCTGCAGTCAAAGAAAGTTTAATCCTCTGTGTTTATTTTGCCCAATTTAATTGTGAAATTTTTAGAATATAAAAATCAAATGTACCCTTATAGTCAACAATGATGCATGTGTCCATTTCAGGATGAACACCATCCATCAGAATCATAAATCTCAAGTGTTCATCAATCTGTCAGCAGAGACCAGAGTAAGTAGTTAATGTTTCACAACATTGTTTTTGTAGTATTCTTGTTTATACGTAGTGTTTATTGTTTATTCTTTCATTTAATTTAGAAATAAAAAGAAACTTACATTTTGCCAAACACCAAAAGGAGTGACATTAATGTTGGTCAGTTTGACATGACTTTGCTCCAAATACCTGTTAAACCAAAAATAGACAACAAAACAAATAGAACCTGAAACACGTTAAAAAGTATTTTTACAATACTGTACAACTTGGATTAAAAAAATAAAATAAGGAAAATATAAAAAAGACAGTGATTTTTACGTTTATTCTATGTTTGTTCTTTCAGTGCAATTTTGAAAAATTATTTTTGAGTGATTGTATGAATTAACAAAGGAATCAATCCTTGTATTGTCCCAAATATGTAAATAATGACTCAGCATTCATACTATTGTTTGTGTTTGTTTTATTTTCTGTTAGTTTTTGTCTTCTAAGTACGTCTGCAGACTTTATTTTTGTCATTCATATATTCAAATAATATTTACATTTTATGAATTTTATTTTTTCATTGAAATACAATGAAAATCATTCAGTTCCGTAAAAAAAAAGATTGATTAAATCTGCTTCAGTCAAATTTCAATTGTTTGTGTGTTCTGCTACTTTCAGTTTTGAGCAATAATTTACTTTTAGTGATTTTTTACTTTTAGGTCTCATTTTACTACAGTTAGCTTTTTGCTAAGCTTTGATAAGTTTGGCTAGCCTCGTTTTACTTTTAGCTAGCCTTTGGCTGGTTTATATTTACTGTTATTAGGTTGTAGCTGCTTCTTAGATTCCCTTTTGTACTTTTACCCAGCATGGTAACACTTTATGATAACTACACCTTATTTAGCCGTAATTAATCATTTAAAAAGGGTTACTTAACCTTGAAAACATCATTAATTAAGGTTTATTCAGACTTAATAAGCTATGAAATAACACATTTATTCATGTTTTACCCATAAAGGGTAATTACTTCTAAAACCAACATACTCATTGTTTACTCATGCTTAATAACTCATGAGT